CAACACATCGGACGGGGCTGTCAAACTCCACAGGAGAGAGCAGCAGGACCTGACGAAAGGGCTTTGAGGGTTTTTATTCCGGACAGCTGATTGCCCTGCTGCCTGTGAATTTGCAGAGTGCTTAACGCTTTTCAATACGAAAATCGCTTTCAGAATCAAGCACCTCAAATGCGATCAATTTCGTAATTAAATTTCTGGGAGGTTCTAGGGTCTGTCAGTAACCTGCTTGCAAATCGCTAGCTCGGCTTTGATCAAAGACTACTGAGATTCACTGTCAAGTATTTCCATCAAACTTCAGCAAGCCCTTCACTGCATGTTAGCAACATGTGTAAGCGCAGTTCCTTAGCTCGTCAAAAGCAGTTTCTGAAAGCCAGCTTCAATCTGGTTATGCAGGTATTTCCGAGTTGTAGGGGTTAGCGGCTAAATCGCACAACTATTGTTAACATTCGTTGTCGATCCTTGGTCCTCATAGCCTCTGATGAATCATGTGCCTGATTGTCCCGCGTCAGCAATCTGGGCTAAGAAGGCCCCACACCCACATAAAGCCAATGAGCCTCTGCCTGATTTACTGCCCGTATCCACCAAAGACCAGAAGAACAACGCATCTCTATGCGGTAGTTAATCTTCTTGGCTCAAGTCTTCTGTGCATTTTGGAATAAATTACAATTCGTGGGCTTTGCCCAGTTTGGAACTGTGGATTTAGAATGCAAAGTCATTGTTGGGCATTACCTTGTTCTGAACCAAGGCCCGGTTTTCATAGTTCCTGCTAAAATACTATTTACATGTCTGGGCATTCTTCATACATGCGTTTTTTGAATAGTTCCTGCTGACGCTCAAATTGCAAAGCAATGTCGAGAAATTTTCCGGTTGTCATTTCTCTGTCTTGAGGCTTACTTAATACGAGTCTACTTACTAGGACATTTAAATCCATGTAGATATCCTATCCATCCCCAGCACTGAAGCTAGGATTGGAGTGAGGACTGTAAGGTTGATAGAGGCCTACGTGCCTGCACATGTAGGGCTAGCGGGGAATGCATGAGAAGTACACAGGACCTATAAGGAGTGAACTTTCATTGAGCAAACATTCCCGAAATTAACAGCAGGCAAGCTTGAAGGCGTGCTGACGACAATACATGTTTGTAGGTATATATGTCTAGGCATATGTGTGTCGATGTATGTATTTGCGTGTTTACCCCCTCCCCCTCCCCCTCCCC